ATCTGGCCTCCATTCAAGGTGATGTTTACAGATAAGGCTTCAAACTGGCTTGGAATTGTTTTGGAAGTCACAAGACTAGAAACCAGAGAATCTCTAATGTAAATAATGACTCCACCCCCCTTTTTTGACGATCACAGCGGTAGATGTTAAATCCATTGATTGCCACGTCATTATTCATTACAGATTTGTTGAGCCAGGATTCAGAAATAAAGATTACATCTGCCCCAGAAGAACTGACCAGGATTTTCACAGCATCAAGTTTTTTTAGAAGGCTACGAGCATTTACATGCAGAAAATGGAGCCCAGAGGTGTTTTTAAAGTCATTTGGTGTGCTGTAATTAGTGGGGGGTCCAGGGTTGGGCTGAATCCCTGAGAGCAGTAACAACATTATTATCAGACATTTTCTTGAGTTTTTTGTGACTGATGTGTAATTACAGGAGTTAACAGTGTGACAATTAGCCCCCATAATCAAACCATGAGAAACATTAATGAAGACGCGATCATTCAGAACCCAAAAACAGTGAAAGTTGCAGTGATGGACAGATCCAGGTGTATTAACAAGATTCAGTGACTCCAGATAATCTGAGAACTGAAAATAGTGACAGTAATATGAATGATGCAGAAAAGTTTCAGACCATAAAACGTCACAGTTCAAATGGGCAAACAAACCCGACGAGTTGGCCCAACTGCAGTTTGAGTTGGACTGAGGGGGGCTCCGGCCCCCCAGTGAAGAAGGATGGATGGATGGATGGATGCTCCCATTGGAAACAGATGCTGGGTCCAGAATCAACAGGCAGAAACAGAAACAGATAATTCGCAGCAAATAGCAGAGCGAGCTGCCAGAAAATCTTCCTGAAGTGAAAGGCATGGTCCAAGCTTGTTTCAGATCAACAGGGGCCAACAACGTGATCCGGAATAAAATTAATTATTATCCAGGTGAGTTTGGATGGAGGCCTGAGCAACTCCGATACAAACTCCGAACTTCTCTCGAGCACCACGCAGACCCGCTCCTTTACTCTGCTCCTCCGCTTCTCAGCACCCGACAACACGGGGCACCCCCGGTGAAAAAACAAGACTGACCGGAGAGGCTGAGGCTGAAGTTGGCAACTGGTCCAGTTCGGTTCTGCTCCAGTTCGGCTCCGGCGCTCCAAGCACGAGAGACGAAAAGGCTGAAGATACCCCTGGCCCGGTTCTGCTCCGGTCCGGCGGCACGGTTCTTCTCTGGTCCGGCGGCCCAGTCTGGCGGCGCGGTTCTGCTCCGGTCCGGCAGCCCAGTTCGGCGGCCCGGTCCGGCGGCGTGTTCTGCTCCGGTCCGGCGGCGCTTCAAAGCACCGGAGCGTCTCCTCTAGGTGAACACAACGACTCCACGGAGGTGGACAGTCCTTCGGTGAAAGTAACGGGTTGCTCACTGAAGCTGAGACCAGCTCTGTTGAAGACGAAATCCCCCACAGCCACCTCGGTTCGGTTCTGGTCCAATTCGAGGGACACAGGTACACTTCCCCCACACCTATGGAGACACCACGAGGGCCAGTCCAGCTGAAAACGAGCGAAATACCACCCGGCGATATTTGTCGGAACCAGGTAGAACCACAAAGGACCAGATAAGAGTTTGTTGAGGTCCAGAGAGAGAGAGAAAAAAAACACCGGACCTTCGTGCGTCGACTCCCCAGCTCGAGGGGTCACCTGGCCGGCAGGATGCGCTCAGAGTGACCGATGGGGGGGGAGCGGCCGATCGGTCCTGGGCCAAAATATATATATATATATATTTTTTTGGACGGTCCCGTCAGGCTCTCTGAGTCACTGAACACCGAATTCGGTTGGAAGGAGGACCAGCTTTAGTCCGGTTCAAAAGACGGGTCAGTTTGATGATAAAAGACTGCAGAGAAGCCGGAGGGAGCTTCTGTCCATCAGCTCGCCGGAAGTGAAGCCAATCACTGTGCGTAAGGGTCAAGGCTGTAAAACTCTACTGGATGCTCGTGATCTCCGGGCCCTTAAACGTCACTGCACCTCAAACAGGAATGCCGCTGTCAAGGAAATAACAGAATGGGCTCAGGAATACTTTCAGAAAGCATTGTCAGTGAACACAATCCACCATGCCATCCGCCGTTGCCCGCTGAAACTCTACAGTGTAAAGAGGAAGCCATTTCTAAGCAAGTTCTACAAGCTCAGACGTTTGCACTGGGCCAGGGGTCATTTAAAATGGAGTGTGGCAAAATGGAAGACTGTTCTGTGGTCAGATGAGTCACGATTTGAAGTTCTTTATGGAACACTGGGACGCCATGTCATCCAGACCAGAGAGGACAAGGATAGCCCAAGTTGTTATCAACGCTCCGTTCAGAAGCCTGCATCACTGATGGTATGGAGCATGAGCGCTTGTGGCATGGGAAGCTTGCATGTCTGGAAAGGCACCATTAATGCAGAGAACTATGTTCAGGTTCTAGAACAACATATGCTCCCATCTAGACGTCATCTATTTCAGGGAAGACCCTGCATTTTTCAACACGATAATGCCAGACCACATTCTGCAGCAATCACAACATCATGGCTACGTAGGAGAAGGATCCGGGTACTGAAATGGCCAGCCTGCAGTCCAGATCTTTCACCTATAGAGAACATTTGGAGCATCATAAAGAGGAAGGTGCGACAAAGAAGGCCCAAGACAATTGAACAGTTAGAGGCCTGTATTAGACATGAATGGGAGAACATTCCTATTTCTAAACTGGAGAAACTGGTCTCCTCTGTCCCCAGACGTCTGTTGAGTGTTGTAAGAAGAAGGGGGATGCCACACAGCGGTAAAAATGGACTTGTCCCAACTTTTTGGGGATTTGTTGACGCCATGAAATTTGGAAACAACAGATTTTTCCCTTAAAATGAAACATTCTCTCAGTTTAAACTTTTGATCTGTGATTTGTGTTCTATTCTGAATAAAATATTAGATGTTGGCACCTCCACATCATTGCATTCAGTTTTTATTCACAATTTGTTTAGTGTCCCAACTTTTTTGGAATCCGGTTTGTATATGATAATGTGATTTCTGAGCATAGGCCTGTTTTATTTGATGTTGGTTTGTCCTGTGCTCCAGTCA